GTCCAGTCCATTTACCCACACAGCCTGTGCTTTCCTCTCAGGTAGAGCCACTGGAGACTTCTGTAATACTGCCTGCATATTATTCATCACTCTATTCCTTCGTATGGAAATGCCAGCAAAGACAACCCAGTGTACATGCCCATAGCTTTCCCATATTCACTCCATCACCATGTTCAGACAGAAACATGCTCAAAAAGATATGGAACCATCAAGGCGGCTCACTGCAGACCACATCTGAATAAAACATGAAAAGACATTTATTATAGTGAAAGAGAGGTGTATTTTATGCAGGTAACAGACGTAGTGTTGAAAGCGAAGTAGCGTAGGGGAAAGAAAATTTAATTAGTGAATCAAAGTTATGTAAACTTAAGCATCTGTTGAAATTCTGAAAATAATCCGAGGATGAATCTCTCTCTGGAGACAATTGCTTGCTTAGACAATTTGAGAGATTGTGCTAGCGTATAATAAAGAAAAAAGGAAACAAAAACACTGGGAATGTTTGAAATGCGTGTGGTATTGACACGATCTAAGAATGATGAAGTTGTGTATGGCTTTGGGAAAGAAAAAATGCAAAAAGTGAATAAAATGTTCAAGAAGTTCCCCAGTAAACCATATGTTCATTCTTGTTTCTTTATTATCTGAAGGTAGATTTTGTTTAAATGGCCCATATTTTATTATATTTTGGATGTTATAATGTTGTTTATAAAGTTGAAATCCTTTTACTTTTTACTCTTTAAGTACATTTAAACACGTACTTTTTAAAATATTCTATCCAGTCTGTGTTTTTGCAGAGGTCACTGGTGCTAGGCTAGTGCATGTCAATGGCCATAGTTAGCCTGCCACTAAAAACAGTCTTACCCACTCTACAAAACACCTGAGGCAAAACAATTATAACGCCAGACTGTTGACGTGAATGTCTGTGTCGATAGAATAATTTTAGAAGTAAAACCAATCTTGTATATGAAGGATTTCTGTCAGAGCAGCGGCAGCAGCAGCAGCAGCAGCACCGAGTTGTACTTCCTGAACTTGGCAGCGGCAGACTGATATCACCTAGTACCTATCTTACCGGTAAAGTAAAATTCCACTGCAGCTGAGAAAATAGTCCCTCAACATGCGACGATTCCTGCGATGCAAGGTTAGTTTTAGTTCAAACATTATTCTGTTGACACAAACATTCACACTGACAGTCTGGTGTTATAATTGTTTAGCTTGACAGTCAGAGTACCTGTTTTACTAGGTATTTTTGAGCTATAAATCCACCTGTAATTGAATAAATGTAAGGTAGAGCTATTTAATGTCAAATTGTGGACTATTCCAGGCAGCACAATGACATCCCCATAGAAACAAGCAGGTGATGGACCCCAACCAAAAAGTTACACAGCGCAGCTTTAGGTCACAAAATTTTAAACTTCTTCCAGCAGTGGCTATACTAGGATCCATCCACCGTGGTCATTGTAAATAAATTCAACTCATGCACTCATAATCCTCTGTAGACAAATGTAACAAAGCTATCTGCTCCTCCCTGCACTCTGTGGTGGGGTCTCCTATCAGGTCAGTGAGTATTTGTACTGATGTCGGTGGAGCTGGAGAGCACTACCCCCCCCCCCCCCCCACACACACACACACACACACACACACACATACCCCCCCTCCTCTGGGCTGCATGAGAGCAGAGCAGGGCGGCCCACACAGGAACACTGGGTAAACTAGTCTAAAATTTATTGGGGTTATAGTGGAGAGTGCCAGGTCATGCTGTCCAGAGGATGGTGTGCGGAAAGAAATGATGTTTAAATATAGATTTGATGTGAAATTGAATGAATACTAAACAGCTTTTGGATGGTTTTGTTTGTTTTTTTTCCTTTCTGGAGATGGTTGGAGCAATAGTTATCTCAAAATCCTGTCAGGAGATAGTTTTGGGCTTGTATTTCGGTTGGAGCAGGGGCCTTAGTTAATCAAGTGAAACTGAAGAGGACGATTAATGCTTGTATAAAATATTCCCTAAAAATTAATGGAGTTAATATGATTAGCTGATTAATTGAGATTCAGGAGCAGGACCACGCCTCAGCCGCCCTCTCCTCTCACCAGCGAACCACAACTCACTTCGACCACGCCTCGAATTTCCCAGAAGTCTATATGTAGCAGCCTTTCCCATCATTCCAGGTTGTCTTGGCGAACTCGACCCCACCCTCCCATCCCCTATTTTGACTTTCAGTCATAAGACCCCTACAAGGGGGGTCCCGTTCCGGCTGGGCCAATTGCAGACTGAGACGGAGCCCCCACCCATAGTCTCAACCCAGCCATCTCTGCCTCGCTTTGTACATTATCAATAAACTTCTTCGCACTATGTCATTGTTGGCGTGGTCCTAGCTAGTGAATATTGACTTTGTGTATCTATTGGATCAGCTTTTAACCAGGCAGTAGCTAACCAGGGGCATGCCGGTTCAAACCTCACCCAAACTGGTTTTTGTGCTTCAGAGCAAGACATTTCACCCTCCAATGTCTTGTCTTCTTCATTAATGTTCAGTGTAAAAATCCCCAGTGTTACTTAATTAAATGTTTATTTACCCACACTCCCCAGGACAGTTTTTGCTACAATCTGTGGAATTTGATAGGGTTAGGGTTGGAATTTTAGGAAGATGACATTATTTGAAAAAAATTCTCAGTAAAACAAAAAGGGCCAGGATAATTTTTCAAACATTTCAGCAAATCATCAGTCACTGTATTTTAAAAAAATATTGGTCAAAATGCAGATATGGTTTATATGTGCCAGACCTGTTATGAAAGTTTAGATGAATCTGATTATGAAGCACTGTTGGTTATGTTTGCAATATTAAATATGCATGCTTACTATAATCTTTGTGAAAATTCTTCAAACTAATGTTTATTGTGAAATGGAAACCCTTAAACTTTGAAGTGTGCTGATTTAGAAGAAACTGCCTCCTATTAGTGTTAACAAAAATATGATGTTGTACCATTCCCAACTATGCACACATTATAGTAAGAGCATGTTAAGAGCTGTTTATAGTCTCACTCCTCTGGGTCACATGACTAACAGAAACACATTTAGATAGTGCGCAGCTCCTGATGTGTTATTGAAACAATGTGAAGCGGATGGAGCAGCAGTATTGACGTTTTTTCTGCGTAATGTAGCTCTCCATCTCTTCCCTCTTTTGTTGAGCACCTTTCCTTCTCCATCAATCTATCTATCTGTGCTCGCGGGGTGAAAAATGGGCCCCATTACTTTTGGCATGTGCTTTACAGAAATAGCAATGGTTTCAGTGAAAAGCAGGAGGTAAACAGCCTGGTACATTTGGCCTTATATATAGCTAACATTTACAAGATATAAAATGGCCTCTGTGGCTCTAGACCTGGCATTTTCAGAGGCGTTATATGTTTTTAAAGCAGTCATAACAACAAATTTCAACGCGTCATATTTATAAGAGATATTCTTAAAAAAAAAAAAAAAAAAGTCGGGGCATTTCTCAGCTCAGGTTTAGTAAATTTTATGTTTATTATTTTAATATTGGTGGGTACATTTGTGTATGAAAAGGTACATATTTGAAGGTATCCTCCAGACCAGAGGACAAATATTTTTTATGATGTGACATGATGTGTTGTGATAGTGCTCTGAAGGGGGAGTAACTTAGCACAAGGCTCAAAGGGAGGGGAGACTGAGAGCATCAAAAACTAAAGTGAAACTTATAAAACATGTTAGTACAATGTTTTTGACAAACTTTTCCTTTTTTAATTATAATTTGGAATATATTTACAAATGGTCAATGATGACAAACAACAAAAGTGTTCATAATTAAAATGTGTTACTAATTAAAAAAAAAAAAAAAAAGTTTTTCACATGAAAGTTTTTCAGGCACTTCTACATTCAGTCTGTGATGTTGTCTTGAATAATGGTACTCACACGTATGTTTTGTCCACCGTAGCATTTTGCCCTTAATTACACTAAATGTTGCTAAGGATGCTGGGAGTTGTGCTGCCACTGCATCAGCGACCAATCAATGAACATTATCACATTTGGGACAGAGGTCGCGACCCCAGGGACACATCACACTGGTGTTGGACATGCTCCTGTCTGAAAACACACAACATTCTGCTGAGGCTGCACTTTAGTCAGCTACCAGAGACATGTCCACTGGTTTAAACGTGCCCACAACAATCTTGACGGTCAACCACGCTGCTGCGCCTGATTTTGAACAAGGCGAGAAACAAAACTAGTTGATTTTAAAGGGTTTGCGGTGGTAAGTGTTTTCACCACTTTCAGAGACCAGAGTGGAGTTTTTACATAACAATTAGCATGCTAACCACACACTTTCTGATTCCCATACAAGAAAACACCTTCAGATTTATTGCAAATGGCACACAGCTGACTTATTTGGACATTAAGAGTCAATGATAATAATATTAGACACACATTTTAATAATACCAAATTCAACTGTATTGTTATTTATCACTAAGATTGAAGGTAATTTTGATTTTAAGAAAAACAAACAAAACAAAACTTGTCAACAAACTGAATACTTATATAATACTTATAAAATACAGCACAAACACCCCAAGCATCACCACCATAAGAGTCAAAACACATTTAAAGTTTATAAATATATGTTGCATACATTGTCCCTAACCATTAACTAAGTGACGATGACTATATACCTTATAGTAGAAGTACTTCAGATACTACCCAGACACTAGAAAGCAATCTCAGAAACTTGGGCCTAAATAAAGCCATAGTGTAAACATGCAGTGTCCTTGTCTGGCACGATTAAAAGGATTAAGAGTTTACCAAGTGCACTGGCTCGTCCAGGCTGCTCCTCTATCATCCAATGGGGGACGTGTTTTGGGACAGAGGGCAGGACATAGGGTGAGCACGGGCACTAAATTCGGAGAGCACCACCAACTCAATACTCACCAAGCTTTCCTACTCTACGCAGCATAAATAACTTTTAGTATGTTTATTTTGTGTTTCTTTTGAGATTACAAAAACATGGAGACAATACGAAAACAGATGAAGAAACATCCAGGGGTAGGTCTTTTTTTAATGTACCATTTGCATATAGCATAAATAAGAGGATGATAATTTTTTACCAAGATAAACAGAGCTTTTTCTGTGCATAGCTGTTTTATCCATTGTATGCTACTCATTTAAAGATGTACAGTGTAACTCTGGAGTAGGGTTGACCAGCTGTTTGTTTGATGGAGATCTTATTGCGTTTGAAATATTCGACTGTATGGCATTAAACTTGTCTCTTTAGTGTTTATTCAGTTTATTTTATTAGTGTGAACGATGTTGCCTCTTCACAGATCTGACCTGCAACTTGTTTCTGTGGCATTACACACAGACAGATATATTTAATGCCATACCATGGAGCCTTTAGAAGCAATACCATCTCTGTGGAGACAAGCAGGTAGACTCCTCAAAAGTTACATTATGTGAAATAGACAATTCTGAAATAGGTAGATTTACCATAATACATGATAAAAAAAAAAGACACACACAATAGCAAACACACAAAATAAATAGAAATATCATTATTCTTTAGTCCGGATTTTATAACTAAAGAGCAGCCAGAGTCCAGTCATTTCAGTCACTACATTTCTGTCTCTTTCTCCTCATCTTTCATACACATCTGAGTGGAGACTGACCCAGATCTGTGGAGTGACGAGAGCTGGTTTTGGCAGAGCACCAGGAAAGTAATAAGGCCACCAACAGTATCCAACTCAACTGAGAAGAGAACACTACTATACTGGGTACATTTTAGACACATATATGGAGGTGCATGGGGCTTGAATGGGATTTCAGCACCAGGCAGTGGACAGCTCCTCACCCACTAACCTGGCTATTTTAATGATAACTTCACTCAAGGGAGAAGAGCAATATTTATATCATGTTCCATCAAGAAAAATACCTCAAAAATGAAATGTCCCCAAATATTGAATTTATTAAAAGGTGAATTTAAAGGGCCCATATTACGCTACTTTCTGATTTATGTTCAAATGTTGTTTCCTCATCACAAACATGAGTTTTGTTTCATTCTCACATGTTCAATGCACAAAACCTATATATTAAGGCTAAAGCACTCTGTTCCACTTTGTGATGTCATGTGGTAATACAGGATATGCTCCAGTGTGTTTTTAAACTTCATACACCTGCACTAGAATCAATTGGATCATTTCAGCTCTGTAATTATGAATCTCTCTTGAACAAAAGGTAAAAGGTTAACTTGAAAACTACTGCTTCATGACATCACAAAGTGGAACAGAGCATTTTGAGCTTTGGAGAGTTAGGCAGTCTAATAATACAGGTTTACTCAAGCATGTGTGAATGAAACAAAACACAACTCCAGGTATGTTTTTAAGGTGGTAACAGCAGTATAACACGGCTTTAAGCTCACAAGAGCAGTTTTGTGTAATATGGGACCTTTAATGGAAGCATGCAGACAGTTTGAACATTTCCTCTTTCTTTCTCATATGACTTGTGATGGTGAAATGTACAGCAGGCCGTGTTGTAATCAAGCACAGATCTAAGTATAGTATAGACAGGACAGATGTGAGGCACAGCTGAGTAGAGACGTCTGCACTCAGAGCCCATCAAACTGTCACCTGTCTGCACCTGTCTGCACCTGCCCACAGATGTTCTCTCTGAGTCTCACTGTACTATAGCATGAAATAGAGCTAGCTCTGTTTTCTACTATGAGATATCAGCACCCATAAAGTTCAATACTAACAAATGTACAATAAATACGCAAGTAAATACTGATATCTGATTCATTCATTTGATTAATTTATTTGTTTATTTGTTCATTTCCATTTCATTGTTCATTCACTCACTCTGTAATAGGAAGCTATTACACAATTGCCCTATGGTAGACTGAAGTGACAGAGACAGAAGGGAGGCTGCCACTCTGCACCATCGGACCTTCTTTCCATCACCAAAACTCACCTGTGCATGTCTTGCCCAAGGGCACAACAACAACTCCGCTAAAGCCACTGCTGCCCCAGTGTGGTACCTGACCTTACCAGTGGTCTTCAATCCTAGTACCAGGCTAGAACTTGCTTAACTTCAGATCAGGCAATGACAGGATGTTTTGGTGCAAAATAATAGCCACTGGTGTCGTTCTCTGGTCTGAACTGACTGATCTAAGGACTACAAATATTCAGCCTCTCATTGTCACTTCTATTGTCCCAGTGGTCTACAGCATCATTGAACTCCTCAAGTACCAGACAGACTCCTTTCTAACAGTATCTGAAACCTGAGCACTGACAAAATGTTTTGATATGCATAAATGTAACAGCTTCACTTCCAAGAGTGTAGAAAAAATGTTCCATTGCAAAGCAGACAACAACTAGTGTGAGGATATACTTCTCAGAATGTCACACCTGAGCTGCAGTGATTTAATCCGACATTATCTCAGTGTCGTTCCGTGTGCTTGTGTTTGGATCCCTGTCAGCAGTGTGTTTGTACGGCTGTCGCTCACTCTGATGGCTGAAGAAGAGAGGAGGCTGTGTGTTTCTGTATGTGTGCTTCTGTGTGTGTGTGCTTCTGTATGTGTGCTTCTGTGTGTGTGTGCTTCTGTATGTGTGCTTCTGTGTGTGTGTGCTTTTGTATGTGTGTGCTTCTGTATGTGTGCTTCTGTGTGTGTGTGCTTCTGTATGTGTGCTTCTGTGTGTGTGTGCTTCTGTATGTGTGCTTCTGTGTGTGTGTGCTTTTGTATGTGTGCTTCTGTATGTGTGTGTTTCTGTATGTGTGCTTCTGTATGTGTTCTTCTGTGTGTGTACTCTCATCCGTGTGTGTATCTTCTTCACAGCTCATCCCTCAGTTCGTCTTCCTCACTGTGGGCATGTCCTCGGCCCTGATCTATCTGGTCCGCCTGGCAAAAGGCCCTCACGTCACGTAAGATCCTACTGATTGAAAAGAAATATGGTGCTGTTAACTATTATGTGAAGTGAAATGTAAATGATGCATGTCGATAACTCAAAAGACTTCAGGACTGTAAATGTTCCATACTCCTATATATGTCTGAGGTAAAAACCCAGGGCTTATAAGTGCAAGGCCCTGGACCCAGCAGCATTAAAGGCATGTGTTCAGCAGCGCATACATTAGACTAGATCATGTAAGTGTCGATGCTTTCTGTGGTGGTGTTTTTGCAGTAAACACATTATGAACAATCTGACAACACCTGACCTCAGAGTCAACACGTCTACATGTGAGTGTGAGTGTGTAAACAGAGGATGTCTGGAGGACATGACTTGGACAGGAAGAAAAGGCTGTATACATTGTGAATGGTTACAAGAGATTAAAGTTAAAGGCCTGTGCCATTTCAAAGAGTAAGTCATGGATATAGTCGGCCATTCATCAAGGTTTTATGAGCTTGAGTTTTTAACTAGATTACTTAATAATGCAGGTCTGGTCAGAGCAGATCTTTGTCCACTTGAGAAAGCTTCACAAAAGTCAGTAATGAGGCAAACATCCTAAGGGCTGTGTATTAGCTGACATATGTAAATTAGCAGCATGCTTCAAATGAAAGGAGCGCTGTGAGACTTACAAGTGTTACGTGCAGGGAAGATGTCCAGACAGTGTCTGAAATACAAGGCAACCCACAAAGGCGCACATGCCATATGACTATGTGGATTTGCAGTAGGTAAAAAAATATGTTAAATATTTTACTACAACCAAACAATATATAATGACTTTATTTAGCCACAAGGAAAATTACTTGTTTTTAATAACAAAGACCAAACAGAATAGTAATGAACCTCCATCATAATAACTGCAAAAATACAAATGCAATAAATACAGCACACACTACAAATGAAAATACTAGCTTTAAAATAATTAATAATATCTATTACAAAATATATATTTTTTTCACAAATACAATTTCCAATTGATTTCCAAATTGGTCATACTGGCCAAAGCATCTGCAGCACAGTGGCACAGTGGTTAGTAAACATGCCCATTAGGCTTATTGCTTGCTGTATGTAGCCCTGACCACAGACAGGCCGTCATTCACAGCAACATCTAAATGAGATGAGCACCAGAGCAGACCACAGCGTGTGTTTCCATGCTTGTCACTATTGTATTCTGTGTATGCTGTCTCCTCTCCTCACTCACCCATCTGTCTTTCTTCTTTTTGGCCCCATTCTTTCCACATTCAGCCTTTGGGACAGAAAGAACAACCCGGAGCCATGGAACAAGCTTGATCCCACCTACCAGTACAAGGTGAGCCCCTGTCACCGCTGCCCCTGTCACACCTGCCAAAACAACACAGCCATCAATCTACACAGATACTAATATTGCGGATGCTACTGCAACCACCACAACTGCTGCGACTAGTACTTCTACAGCAACTACTACTACTCATGTCCCATTTATGTTCCTAATGTTGCTAATTGCTAATGTCAGTGGTGGAAAATGTTCCAAAGTATTATTCTTTTACCACTGACTCATGCAGGTGACATGCCACCTTCAGAAAGTTCCACACTGTACCTTTAAATCGGCTACTATTTCAAAATATTAAAGGCTCTGTACCTGTGGGTCCAGTCAAGCAGTAACGGAGGGCTCTTATTCAGAAACTAGAGGGACTATTGAAATAAATAAAGTATCAGAATGTAGGAAAGAGTTACACTCCAACAGGGTAAAGTTAAACCTGTGATATTCTTTCAAGTTGTTGACAAAAAATTTAAAAACTCATGTCGGTAACAGAGGGAATGAAATATGCAGCACTTAAATCCAAACAGTGATAAAGCGATTCTCACTTCCATATCCTTAACAAACTGGTTTGAATATTTGCTTCATATAGTTTTCTACCATATGGTACAAGATTAGGTTAAAAAACCTCTTACTTTTTGACTAATGAGATTTTTTATGAAGAAAGGTCATGGTAACGGAGGGAAAAGTAACGGAGGGAAAATTGTTCAAGCAAGTAGAAGGTGCAGGATTTTACATCATTTGTCGCTTTTTTCTTCTGAATACTTTAATATTACTTCAAAATGAAAGGAAACTACTTCTATAAAATATGTCAGTCCTTCCAAGCTAATTTTTATCATTTTAAATACTTTTTTTTTTTTTTTTTTAAATCATGTCCTTTCATCAACAGTTCAAAGATGGAATAACACAAGATATGATGAAATACATCCATTTATTTACATGATTTGCAGGTCTTTGAAATTTGGGAAATAATTTTTGTTCCATGTTTCATACATGGTCTGTTTAAAAGGTATGGAACTTTAGAACCAAAAATGGTACAGAAAAAAGGTCCACAGTTTCATAAACTAGAGTACATATGTATCTGTTCAATACAGTTTTATATCAGATGCCTTGCTGTTTACTTCTGCTTGACCACGCCCAGCTGTATTTAAGCGAAATTCATGTTTATCCGTACTGTATACTGTAGATCTCGAAGTCAAGTCAAGTCTGCTGTACATTATCTGAATCTAAAGCTTTTATTGTCCAAATATCAGGGAGTGCACTGTTAACATGTTAGTTGTTGTTAGCATTACCTTCATTGTAAACACGCACTGGTGTCTGGGAGTCATGAAAAAGAACTTACAAACTCTTCTTTGAATGCATGAGGTCAACTTTGGACCACTGCAAATCGTTTACAATGAAATAGTTCTGTTTTTGTAGTTCTTGTTTGTTTCGTTCACACATGTTTAAGTAATCCTTTATTATAAGACTGTCTACATCTCCAAAGCTCAAAGTGGTAGTTTTCAAGTTAACAGTTACCTTTTACCTTTTGTTTAGTAGAGATGGACAATTCCAGGGCTGAAATGATCCAAATGATTCTAGTGAAGGTGCATGGATTTAAAAAAAATACTGTAGAGCAAATCCTGAAATACCACAAGGTGTAACCATATGTTTTCTGTTTGAGAGAACTCCGGGTATGTTTTTAATGAGGAAACAACTTAGCAACATACGTCAGAAAATAGTGTATATGGACCCTTTAATGACAATGCAAAGGTAAAGCCAGCCTGAGAAAGAACACAAAACAGACACAAAATGCACAATAGGACATAAAAAAAACAGTGAGTGTGCGTGCAGCAGAAGCAGAGCAGAAAGAAGTGAGTCTTTTGGCAGGTTTCAGAGTGTTTTGGGGGGTTTCGAGGTACTGTTGCTGCCAGTGGAATAGAAGTGGCTGCAGAGGAAAGGTCTCAACATGGCATGTTTAATTCTGCACACTGAGCCAAAGGTCGAGTTCCAAATTCTCGTGGAGTCCAAACAATGATCGTAATGAAGAGCGGAGAGGGGGGGGTATGAATATGAATTAGTTAAAGGGTCGTGGTTTTCTTATATATGTTATAATATTAACTCATGAACACTACATATTTAGACTAAGAATTTCTCTCAGACATTTAATAGCATCTCCATGGAGACAAGCATTTATTTATTGTTTATTTATTTATTTTTTGTTTATACTGTGGAGAGGTGACCCCTGCTTGTATTAAGAATGCACATTTTGTCATAGTTAAAAACATGCAAGATACATTAGTTTAAATACATACTGTGGAAAAAAATCTGGCAAAAAGATTTCCATGGAGACAAGCTGATAGCACACCCTACACCAGAAAAGTGACATAATGCGTCTTTAAGTTAATTATTTATTTTGTATAGTTGATTCATTTAATCCAATTATCCCAAAAGCAAAAATTAAAAGAAACAAACAAAACAAAAAAACCCATAAATGAATAGGTTCCACACCCTCTCTGATAATGAACTTAATTTAAGCTAAACATATTTAAATATATTCCTCTGTCCTCTCCTCTGCAGTTTATGGCTGTCACCACAGACTACAAGAGCCTGAAGAAGCAGGGCCCTGACTTCTAAAGGTCCTCCGGGCGACTGTGGAGGTTCACGCTCCGGGACGTCCCGCTGACATGACACCCTGCCCTCAAAATGTCTTCCCCGCACAAACTCCCATGTAATAATCTCTTGGGACATAACTGAGAATAAAAAATACAACGTGTGTGTGTTTGTGTGGTATCGAAATTAACAATACAATATGCACTTCTTATGACAAACCGCTGAAATGTCCTATACTTATACAATGTAGAAAGTTATTAGTAAAACTGAGTAACTTTCTACACTAGTTTTAGCTTGAGTCCACTACTCATGACTCCCTTTTCAAGTCAACATGACCTGGGACTTGACTGGGACTCATGATCCACCCAGAGAGTCAAGCTGGGGAACTGGGAATTGGATTGGAACTTGAGCTCTAAAGTCTTTATACTGCCTTGGTATATCTTCTTGAAAAAGAATTAGTAAAGCCGCATGAATTCACCGCAGAGTCCACTAAAAGAACACAAGTCAATAAATCAGAGTCAATAAATAAGAAAACTCTTCCTAATCGGGCTGGACTTTGACTCTAATGTCATTCCAATGACTCAGACTTGGACTCAGACCAAAGGAATGGACTTGGACTTGGCTCGATGACCAGTCCTGTAATTTGGCTCTGAACAATGAGGACACAAGGGTGACTAGATAAATTGTGACACACTGAGCACTATCATTGAGGATGGACTTTTGTACTTTAGATCAAACAGAAACAAAACGATAAATAACAAAAACACCCTTGTGTATTAAATGGTGCAGTTGCTTTGACCCAGGTCATGTACCATGTTTAGTGGGTTACATTCCAAATATTGTGATTTATTTCCTCACATGTCCCAAATGTGTCCCCTGTGGGAAAAGTCTGAGCTGCTCTCTGTCAGATGTGAGGGGACAGATGATGATTAAAATAGAGTTTCATTATCAAAACAGATTTTAGTGTGGGTCACTGGGCATCTAAAAGTGGCTTGAACACACTCACACACTGCATCTACTCAAGCTAGCTCATAACTATTTCTGCTGTAGGAGTGTGGTGAATGTCTAGTCACAAATTATAGTTTGGACTAAACTATAGACTGTTATAAAAGTGTAGCTGAATATGTCTGTGTTTGACCAATAGCTCAATAACTTCAGGTTGACTTAAATTATTCTGCTATTCCAACAAGATAATAATAATAAATGATGCATGAATCACCATTCACAATTACAAACCACAGAACTAATTGAAATGTCATGTTATCAGTTTTGTCACATGAGTATGATGTATTTTTAAAGCCCCAGTGCATAACTTTTAGCCAAAATATAGATGAAATAAAAGCATGTTCTTTTTTCATTTCGGATCAGCAGTGAAAAATGCAGAAAAACACTGAGCGGCTTGCACCTCCACGTGCTTTTCTCCATGGTAATGTTGTTCCTTTGGCTGTGATATGATGATATATTTGAATATGGTATTGCATAAAACTCATCTATCTCCATTTTGAAAGTTCCGAAGTATGGTTTTAACTTTCTATTTCTTTAGAATCATGCAGGTGTCACCTCCAAAAAGTTACAGTGTCTCCTTAAAGGTGCTATATTACGCACATTGACCAAACAATAGTGAAGGGGTATGGATTTTAAAAACACAGTAGAGCAGTTCCTGTATTAACAAATGACCTCACACAAATATGCAGGATCTGTGTGTTAAAATGTGAGAATGAAACAAAACACAACTCCAGGGATGTTTGTGATGAGGAAACAACATTATAGCAGAAATCAGAAAATAGTGTAATACAGGAACTTTAACAAAGCAAATATGTTTGGGGGGTTTAATCAGTTTTCAATAATAATTCATGGAAATCAATGTTTATAAGTCTAGTGTGTGAAATTCACCACATAGATTTCTTTTAAATGGCAGCTTTGAAATGTGCTCTCCTCCTTTGAACCCATACGAGATCATTTTCCCAAACGGAGACGACCGCGGACATCAGACAACAACATAAAACCCTCATAATGGCACCCACTGTCTGGATGTCGGGCCCCTGGGTGCCTCTAATACGGCCCTTAATAGACCCTCTGTGATGGGGTCCATTTAAGGGGGCGCACTAAGCTCCCTCCACTGAGCCCACCTGCCCACTGGCTCCTGTGTCTGTGTGTGACAGGTAATCAGCCTCACCGGAGCAGCACTGCAGCATTAGCACAAGGTCATGCACTGTCTCACACACACACGCACACACACACACACACACACACACACACACACACATGCACACATATTATAGCCTTCACACACCTTCATACACGTACACACACACGTACACACACATATAATAGCTCCCACACACGCACCTGTATTTGGGACAGCTAATATCAGAGCTCACTGCCCATAGTAATTGCATTGCCTCAGTGTGTTAGTATCATGATAAAACTTCAAGCCAGGGTCAGGAATACTTCTATGACACCATAAATACAAAAGATCAGTTTGGGTAGGACCTTACGTGAAGTGCTCAAGTCCATGGAACTGCAGTATTAAGTATACGTCTGTGAACAATCTCAACCATGTAGCCATTTAAAGGTGCACTGTGCAACTTTTCTGGTGGAGGGTCCACTAGATATTATTGCTTATCACTTCTGTGAATAGGAGCAACTCTCCACAGATCTGAATTCTAATGTAAAGTATAAATAAGTTGAATCCATACTGTGGTCAGTGTTGGGGAGTAACAGATTACATGTACCGGAGTTATGTAATCAGAGTACAAATTATGAGTAACTGTATTCAGTTACAGTTACTGTTTCAGTGAGTGGTAATTGGATTACAGTTATTTTGTTGAAATAAATGGATTACACAACGGTATTTTCCTGTTTTCACATTTTGGGCTATATCCCCCCCCCTCCCTGAGTGATAATTCCACTCATTGCCGGACACTAAACCAGGTCTAAACCAGGTCTAAAGTAGGACTAAACTAGGACTAAACCAGGACTAAACCAAGTCTAAAACAGGATTTAACAGGACTAAATCATGCTGTGTGGACGTGTTTCCTCCTCTTCTATCAATAATATTTTTAATTTGGTTCAGTAAAGTCTGGGCTTTTTATTTTCTTTTAACAGACAAAACATCTCATGTGAAGATTTCCTCGTCTTTGCTTCTCTACAGCAAATCAAGTAATCCAAAGTATTCAGATTACGTTACTCACTTTAAGTAATTTAATGGATTATGTTACAAACTACATTTTGCGGTGTGTAATCTGTAATCTGTAGGGGATTACATTTTAAAAGTAACCTTCCCAACACTGTTTCCAGTCTTTAAACCAAAATACCAAATATAACTTAGATTTGTGCAATTTATGTGACTTTTAAGGTAAATTGTACTTCATGCTATATTTATAGAGTATATAAGAGTTATACAAATTAATTTTCCTTTTTAAATCAACATGACATTGACAAGATGTTAGTGTGAATCATTATGGTCAGAATAGCATATGTACGTGCTGTTTGAAATCGTCTTGAATTTGGCGCCTCGTCTCTTCTAATCACATGTACCCAGAGCGCTCGGAGTTGTGTGTCGGTGGGGAAATGATGAAAACTGAAGGATGGTTGGAATTGCTGATTAGTCAAGCATAACAGAATGCTACAGTGACATGGAGATGAAGAAAACTGGTCTTGGGAAGTTGTAATTGTATCTTTCCAAACGTCTTCCTGGTTTGTGACGTAAATGTGAATAGAGCCTATATTTCCATGGAGATGAGCGGGTGGCAACGATCCACTAGAAATACTACACAGAGCACCTTTAAAGAAGGGCTGTAAACAAACTGATGACAGTTAGATCTGATATAAAATGTAAAAATTTAGAATTCTTTGTGTGGTAAAACTTGCATCTCAAACTGGATCCAGAGGTGTGTACTAACAACTAAGGCAGCAGCAGGAGGAAGAGAGAGACCATTTACTCCCAAATCAGCAGAGTACATAGTAATATTAGACACAGATTAGTATAAATAAGAATTTGCAATGGTGGGTAGATCAACAACAGATATAGACCTTTCATCCTGATGTAGGCCTCTACTTCCTCAGGGAAACTTCAAGTAATTTCACATTTTAAAAATCCATTCCACATTTGATGGGTTGTAATGAATGCTCCTTATTAGTGCAAATGTAATGTATTGGTTTATTTTGCATGCTCTTGGGCAAGATACGTATAATCAAGTGATGTGATCCTTTCCCACTTTCACAAAATGCAGAGACCAAAACATGCATGGACACAGTCAGTGGGTGGTCTTCAACTTAAACTCAGGGTAAAACACACAATTGTCCTTCATTCATTCTGTCTAAATACTTCCTGGGAATATGAGCTGCTAAATATATCAACCTCTGGCACAGGGACAATGAAAGTGCTGACTGGGCAGACTTCATTGCTCCTGCCTGCAGCAGATGCACTCATAAAGGTGAGCCTTTGTTTACACATAGATACACCTATAAAAAATGAGAATGTGAAATGGTTAATTCGCTTATTCAACTCCCAGTGGACTCATACAAGCAATCCAGCTTGTACAGTCCATTGTCTTTCTGTTTGCTTATGATTCTCAAGTTAAGGGTCAGTTCATGTTTTTTCTTTCCAGCTAAGATCTTTTCAAACTGTAGGGATCAGTCTGGTCCCGACTTCCTCTGTTGTGCCTTGAGCCAGCCTCAAACATGACTCCACAATCAGAATCTTTTATTTAAGTGACATGTGAAAAAGGAGCTCATTGGTTATCTATCATTTTGAATGAAATGAAATTTCACTTACCTCAGTGTTTAGTGCTTTGATATTTATTTTCTCCCCATAACTGTTTTGATATCCATATGCATTTCCCTAATTGACTAATCCACCTGTCAATCATGCCCATCTGAACTCTGGGAGATTCAGCAGTGACCAGCCTCACATCTTCATTAAGTATTCGAGAGATGTATATTCTGAATCAGCCTGGCACAATACAAATGTGGTGAGGCTCATTTTTTTAAATAGTTCACATATCCTGTGCACTTATCATGTTGGTTTTAAAATATCTGTAAATTTATATTATTTTAAAGATGGTATTTTCTTTACACCATGGTGCCTATATGCCTATAACACAGTGAAACGTCTGATATAATGAATGTTATTATATAAACACTCTGGGTTTATGCAACTTGAAAAAATAGAATCAAATACGGGGAATAATGTGGTGTCCTGTATTTCCCATATAGACATTTATAAAGATATACAAATATGACAGATGCCCTTCCTGAGGCACACACTTGAAAGATATGGTTTGTGGGGACACTCCCTTGTCAAAAGCCACATAATACCAGACAAGAAGGGTCTTGATCAAATGAATTGATTTCACAAAGCATAAAATGGCCATAGTTAACTGTGGCATTAGGAGGATAGAACCATTTGTTTGATTTGGCCTCAGGTGCTGCATTAAAAGTGGATTAGGGCCAGGATCAGGATTATTGTACATGTGAGATGATCCACACATGATCATTATGGTGTAATTACAGCTCCTCTGTGCAGTGGTGCGCCGCTTCATTCACTCTTTGTTTTCAAATAACTCCTTTATGCTTCACTGTATTTCTAATGCATGTCTTTCATTGTTTCCATTAAACTAATGAGATGGATCGGCTCTCTTTTGATTAATGTTGTGTATGAGCAGAGATCTGATCAAATGTTGAAATACTGTTTATTTGTTATATGTCAAGACATTTTCCCACCAGGCATTCTGGCTCAAAGTTGTGTTTAAAGGGCCAATTACACTATTCTCTGATCTATGTTATAATGTTGTTTCATCATCAAAAACAAACCTGGAGTTGTGTTTTGTTTCATTTGCTCTTGTGTAACACACAAACCCTGGATATTTAGGCTGTTTTTCTCTTTCTTAAACTAAAAACAACTTCACTTCGATTTTGTGAAGTGGTAACACAAGAAGTGCTCCGTTGTGTTAAACTCCATACACCTTCACTAGAATCATTTCGATAATTTCAGCCCTGGAATCGCCTTTTTCAAATAAACAAAAGGTAAAATGTAGGTGTTAACTTGAAAGCTACCACTATCACTTCATGACATCACGAAATGTAACAGAGCAACAGAGTTTAGGGGATGAAGACAGACTAATAATGAAGCGCCATTCTAACAAGGCTAAAAGCTTATAAACAATTTTGCATAATATAGGACCCTTAATTTACAAAGGGACAGTGTGTAACAGTAACCAAAACAGATGATTCAATAAATGTATTTTTCATCAAAAGTTATTATCCCTCAAAATGATTACAATTTAACAATTATCTACATTATGAAATTGCTCCATGAGTTTATTTCAACTCAACACAATTTCAAGTACATCTTTGAAAAGAACCTTTCACATTAGACGGGACAAAATAAAGATGAGGTGTCAGTGAAAAGACTGTATGTCTGTACAGCTTTCACTTTGTGTTGGTTCAGAGCAATTTACTGGAGAATGAAACCGTGACATGACAGTAAATACTATAATCAACACTAAAATTGATGACATTTTGTATGATTTTATGTCTTATTAGTGCAAAAATGAACAGAGCAATAATTAAATAATTGCCTTTTATTAGAAGTTATATTATTAAAACCTTTGTTAATGACAGAAAATGTAATGTACAATAGTTGCCAAGCCGACCAAAAAGGAAAAACATACAGACTTGAAAACTCTGTTGGTACATTGTGGCAAAGTGAACAATGATGTTTTGGTTCGTTTGACATGTGGTGCCTTGTGGAAAAATCACAACTTTTTCGACACCATTTTGTCGTTTGTGCTGAAAGACCCTTTTCACAAAGAGATATTCACTTCTGCAGCGATAATGAAAACTGTTACAGTTTGTAAAGTGAAAACGAGTCTCAAAGATACGCAACAACGCTGAGATTCAATGGAAGTTTAGCTCATTGTTTATGTCCAAATCACATAACCCATAACTCCTGTGTAAACATTCAACATAATATTAAACAGTAGTACTATTAACAGCTATATGTAGGAAGAACAGACAATGTACTGTTTTGTATACTGTAGCTTTGCCCTTAAGACTTGCAGATTTGGAAATGTAATCAGAATAAGACTAGGACTTTTAGAAAAAAATATACCCATGCTTGTGTTTGTACTTTGAAGAAAATAGAAAAGCATCAGTTTCATTGTGAGACTAGAGTGCAAGTACAGACATATTGGGAATTATATTAGTCTATAGAAATATACAACTTGTCACATAAAAATGTTATCACAAAAAGAAAGTGAATGTAATCAAGTTAAGTGACATAAGTTTAGCTGCTATATATCATTAAGACCTTCCAGCATAAGTCTTTAGAGTATGTATGTAGTGTACTAATCAATTCACCCTCACATGATTTTGAACTTCTTAAATGGTTAATGAAATGATAATGATTGTATTGTCTGTGTCACATAAATGAAATAGATAAAGGAGATATTTTAAAACATGATAGAAAAATTCTGTAGAGTTTGAAAATATCTGCTCATTTAAAAAGAGAGAGATGTGACAGAATCAGTTTTTTGTTTCTCAGGTAAAAGCTGCTCCTCTGACTCCTCCTGAGGACACTTGTTCAGTTGGATCTGGCACCAAGCCGGAGCTCCTCCCTCCTCAGGGCTGGGGGATTAATGGTCATGAAAACCAGGCATTGGGAAAGGTCTGGCAAACACCTCCACGCGCTTCCGTAGATCAGCAATGCGCCCCACGGTCTCTGGATCCTCTAGCAGGAACGTCTTGAAGTCTTGTAGTTTTGCTGCAGAGAGGAAAGTGATTTCTATAATACCAAGATTACATACAGTCTTGGATAGCGGTAAAATGGGAAAATAAAGGTTACCAATCAACCATTATTCAAAATGCTAATTTAGAATTACCTGTCTTTTTCTTGACATCCAGGGCAATTTTAAAGCCCTCATCCATGAACTCCACAACCTGGACAAAGTCGGCCTCTTTGAACTGTCTGGAGGTTAGAGCTGGAGCACCTGGAAGCGTTAGACTTAACCAATAACTTATTCAACATATTAAATAATGGTTTAGCTCTTTGAGTGACTATTTGTATGAAGATTCCAGTAATGGTGAGCATGTACTTTGTGTGTAATTATCACTGTTAAACACTTAACTGCTGTCTGTATGGCATGTTAAATATCTTTAAAAATGAATTTCATGTACATAGTGTGAAACTAATAAACTGTATAAAGAAGTGGCCTAAGTGAGTGTGACATCACCCAAAATGTTCAGCTCCACTCAAGCGAAGCTCATAATGCTAATGGATTCAGAGACGAATTTGGAGCCAGGCTCTATATTATGAATATGATTTTTTAAATTGACAAAATGTAGGAAAGAAAAATCGTAGGATCATGTAGGATCATGTAGAGTGGGTTAATACGAACATTTTAAGACCAAAATGACTCACTGCAGCAGTTGCAGAGAGAGGGGAGACAATATCCCAGTGTCACTGGAAGCTGGGGTCAGAAGGAGCTGGACGCGCCCACATGTGAACTTCCTATTAGGAACGCAGCGACTAGTGCTTTAGCCATGTCCATTTATATATACAGTCTGTGCTGGAACCTAGCTGCATTTGAAATCTGGCCTTAAGTGAGGTATCTGTAAATTTGTGCTGCTCTTGCACTTCCTGCAGATAATAAAAAATCCAAACATGTTTAATAAATCATCATGAATGCTTGTGGCCTGATTATTACACAACTCAAAAAAAACAAAACTTTTAATCTGTAAACAACTGTAGATGGAGATGAGTGTGAGGTGAAAAATCAAATCATTCACTGTAACCAAAGCAAATTATGCCAACTCCTCATGTCTCCATCATACATACATGCTAACAATGTTGTCAGCGCCTCTTGTTAAATACCCTCACACAGACTGTGTGCGTGTGTGTGTGTGTGCATGTGCGCGTCTGTGTGTGTGTATGTGTGTGCAGTGGGCCTCACCTAAGCGCAGACCGCCAGGTGTGAGTGCGCTCTTGTCTCCGGGGCAGGTGTTTTTATTGGCAGTGATGGACACTAGCTCCAGAACCCTCTCAGCCCGAGCCCCATCGATGCCCTTAGGCCTCAGGTCCACCAGGACCAGATGGTTGTCAGTGCCGCCTAAGACAGCAGTATTTAAAAGTCAGATATTCACTGCAGATTTGCACATAGTGATCCTCAACAAATACAAAAGTTATTTAATTTAAAAACATGGCATCCTTACATTTATGTAATCAATAGAAAGTATTACTTCACAAAAGAGCTGAGGCCAGTGGATTACATTGAATACAGCATACAAGGATTTGCTCTTAGAAAATGGCCATTACGCTCTTTTCTTATTTCCATCAATGACATAGAAAGTACTGTGAGATTAGCATATTGACATGTCATGAATTTAAATGTGTACGTTGTACGATGTAGTGGCAGAACACAATTGTTATTAATGGGGGACTGTGATGCAGGGGTTTTCTGACACAGAAGTGTTGTTTAAAAACATGTTTAAAACCAGGGCCCATTACCTGACACCAGAGTGTAGCCTTTACTGAGCAGGGCTGCTGCCATGGCCTTAGAGTTCTTTATCACCTGAGCGATGTACTCTTTGAACATGGGCGACTGAGCCTGGGGACCACACAACCAAAGTAACAGCTGAACAGTTAAGTCTTTTGTGTCAAATAAAAAGACATATACAAACCGGTTATTGATATTAGTGACATGGTTTTGCTTTACCATACAGAAAATAACACTTTTTCTCAATTAAACATAACAGGTCAAGAGAATGTGTGCATTTAATTGGTTGGCAGAATGTTTAACCCACGCTGTATGCTGTTTATTATCCTTTTGTGTGTGTTTTTTATTTAATGGAATCAAGTGACTAAAGTGTTTTTCTGACCTGTCTGAGGGCCACAGCGACACCAGCAATGGCATGATTATGAGGTCCTCCCTGCAGTGAGGGAAATACAGCAAAGTTAATCCTATCTTCCAGATCATAAAGAGTCTCCTTGCCCTTCTTGTCCACAGAGCGCACACCCTTTCGATAGAAAATAAGACCAGCCCTGTAAAAAAAAAAAAATACAGAATGTTATTTGTTTAAAGAAAAGTAACAGTGGAGCTTCTTGTGTGACCTACCTTGCTCCTCGTAGAGACTTGTGTGTAGTGGAGGTTACGATGTCAGCGTGGTCAAAAGGAGAGGGGATGGCCTGAGCTGCCACCAGTCCACTGATATGGGCCATGTCTGCCAGCAAGTAGGCCTTAATGTCTGTGCAGAGCTGTGAGAGACACCAGGATTAAGTGGTCAGTTTACCAGTGCTCAGTTCAGCACACACACATTAGTCTGGATTATCTGTTGTTTGAGTTAGCCTTCGATTCATTCTTCTGTGCTAGACCAACTTTTAGGATGATTTTGTAAAGTACACTGTTTATATCACTGCATTATTCTCCACATAGCGCAGAAATGGGAAAACAAGTGATTAATGCTTTTAAAGTGAGATTTCTTATGAACTGAACCATATTTGCATATGTAATTTTCTTTTTCAAAATCACCCCTCCCCAAAAGTGTTACAACTACAAGTTATTTGCAGCACCCTCTTTAATCAAATCCACTCGGGCTGGTAAAATGACACAAGAAATATAAGGAACAATTTGTTTGTACTAATAAGTTTAGATTTTCCTGCAGTCAGTGTTTGATAGCTCAATCTACACATGTTAGCGGTACCTTTCTTTCCAAAGGGCACATATTTCAAACCAAGCCGATGTAATTATGCTGTTCGCAATCTTCAGAGGCCCAAAATATTACAGCATAATTCAATAAATCCTCTCCGTCTCTTGCCAGCACTTATTGAAATAGGCACAAACAATAAATAGCTCACTAACATGCAAATGAGTCTCTGGCGCATGATCAGAGAAGTAAACAATCTTTTTACTGCTCCAATTAATATGCATTATCATGACAATCTCCTCTGCACTCCTATCTGAACAGGATCAGTCCATGTGCCTTGGAAAACATGCTGAGGTTACTGCAGGGAAAGACGCCTATATCACAGATCACGTGCAGTCGAAAAGCCAAAAAGTGAATTTGTGGCCGGTCCAATCTAGGTAACACAATGCTAAAAGGCTGGAGAGGAGCCCGGGCGGCAGATTTCGCTATAAAACTGTTCCGCGGAGAGATGCCAGGGTGAAAATATGGCCCTTCTTCAAGCCCAGTGACAAAGCAGTTATGGTGCTTAATAAAAACACAGCTCCGTAATGGTGGGACAGTCCATCTGATGGCGGTGGCTAAAGTGGGGCTAGGGAACAAAAGAGAGGCAGCCATAGAGACAATGAGAAGGTTGTGTGGTGGGTGAACACAGTGGATGGAGGAGCCTCTTGTGCAATGTCAGAGCATGAGTGTGTGTGAATAAGTGTGCGTGCTCGTGGGGAGGGCTATTGGAGGAACAAGAGGGAGAGAGCATGGGCGCGTTGTGGGCACTGGGCACACAGGCTAAAACGGCTGTTGTGTTTGAAACGGTTAAAAATAAAAAGAGATGAGTGCTTTTGAGAGTGGTCTGAGCAAGAGTGGTCTGTGTTTAGTTCGAACAATGGAAATGTCCACAATGAGAGACCTGGTGCATTTTAAGTATAGTCTGTATAATTGTCCTTCCACATATTAATTCTAATAAAGCTTTTAAAATCATTAATATGAGAGGACATTTAAGTACATCAACACATGTTCATGCGCATTCTAGGTTCCCTCTGCTCTTGCTGACAAAGTGTTATGTGCATACATATTGAAACATATTTGGAGTGCAGGGCCACAGCCTGTTGGTCACCAGAGCTAGTGATTTGTATAAAAAAATTCAATTCAGCAGAAGACCTCAAGGACAACTATTACTGGTTTGAGGGCCACATTTGGCCCCCAGGCCATATTTGGACATTATCTTTCAGAACAGAACTTTGTTGGAGAAGTGTGAAATGTGTTCTTGAACAAAGCATTGGTTTTACAGTTGGACAGAGCTGCACAGAGAGCCAGAGAGTGCAGACTGTATGGAGTGTGAGTGCACCTTCTTGATGCGGGCGTAGTCAATGAGGCGGGCATAGGCGCTGGTGCCAGCAATGATGAGCCTGGGCCGGAACAGCTTGGCCGTCATCTCCATCTGGTCGTAGTCTATAAGTCCTGTAGAGGGCTGGGAGGGGCACAGAGAGGAACTGTTAGAGAACTGTTAGGATCACGCTTAAAAGATATGACACGTTTTAAGATCAAGCTCAAACATCCATCCCAAAAGAGCACATTTGCACCAGAAGCACAGTCTGAAGTACTTTGGCTCCTGAAATGGAGTACATGATAGAGCTAGTTTATCCTGCAGCAGTGTATCATGGGAGATGATGGAGCAATTGCAGTAATGAAGCCCTACTTATCCTAATCCATCCTCTGCCGTTATGTGACTGAACTGTGAGGAGGCTGGTTTAGAGACGCACGCATTTTCTCTTCATACAAAACATTATAATTGACTGTTTGTAACCAACATTTGTTTACTTATTTTATCCATATGAAATGCAGACATCAAAATCAGGATTAAACACAGAACCAAACCAGGATAAACGTCAACACTCAAAGTACTGTATCTTGAATTGATTGAATTGATTCCTCCACATAAAGCAGAGAAAAGTCAAAATAAGAGAGAAAATCATTTGCATTTGCCTGGATAGAGGAGCAGTGAGGAAACAGAAGGAAAGACACAGAAGTGTTTCCTTAGACAAGCTGATCATCTCCTGTGTCTGTGGGACACTTGTGTAGCTGCCCCCTCACTCCATCACGCTGCTCGTGGCCAGGACAGAGCCAGTGGTGCTGGCCAGCAGCCTGTCGATTTCCCATTATCCCTCTCACAGAGGGGTCCTGGCTGACCATACATCAGCAGGCCTGGACATCCCCACTCTCACGCTCATTCATCAGACACTACAACACTAGAGCTCCAACAAGACTGCAGCCACAAAATATAGGCCCTGATCTACTGCACTACTAACAGAATAATAATGTCATATATGGGATTTTTAAAATTTATTTCACTTGTTATTTAAATACATTATAATACAAGACCATCATCTTACTTAAAAAAAATCCCTTATGTCTCATATGCAGTTACTGGGCAGTATTCACTTACATTCAACTTGTAGGGCATAGACTCAAAATAAATTGAAGTTGCAGAAATTCTCTTCACGTCAGACATGTATCCATGAGTTAGACTGTGAAACAAAAAACAAGTATGTTCATGCATGCCCAATTACAGTAAAAAAATATGGAAACTTATTTCACAAAAAAAACAAAAAAAAAACTAAGAGATGAGAGTACTGACTGTCCTCCATCGGGCAGGTCCAGGCCCATGATGCGGTCGTGGGGGTTGAGTACAGAGGTATAGGCGGCGAAGTTGGCCGGAGAGCCAGAGTATGGCTGCACATTGACACCCCATTTAGCAGGGTCCAGGTTAAACGCATCCAAAGCTCGTCTCTGACAAAGCAGCTCAATCTGGTCCACTATTTCAGCTCCACCATAGTACCTGCACAGAGGGAGGGGGAAACGGGAAATCACAATCTACACAATCTCAATGGACAAAAAAGAAATTATGGTAAACACTTTCATTCACACGCTCATCAAAGAACAGTTCAACAGCAGAAATCTTAAGCTTAAAGGAAAACAGTTTTGTATGCGTTATATAAATAAGCCATAGATTCTAGTTTCCACTTTTTTGAGTACTCTATGTTAGTTAGTTGATCTACTACTTCTGATTTAGAGCAAGACTATTCCTTAAAACATTTTCCATATTTACACAATTTCTATTTACAATTTTCTATCTAGTTTATATACCTTATTTACCATTGATTAGTTACTGGGTATCAATACTCTACTCACAACTCTAGTACAAGTTGGACATGCACCTTTGTTGACTAAACCGGTCTGCAATATTGAAAGAATTACAATTCCATTGTCATTATTTTTTTTTTATTAAAATTTAACACAGAATAGAATAGAATAGCCATTGCAAAGATACAGATTTCCTGACACTAGTTCCTGCCTTCTATAACATTAGTAGTCCACAAAACCCTCTGGTTGCTGTTGATAAATGGAAATGATCTAAGGGACGTAAGAAAACATGTAAAAGATGAAGCTGGGCTGGTAGATTCTTTGAATGTATCCCCTCAGGAAGTGTCTTTGGCAGAGCTCAGGCCTGAATAATGTCTGTGTGATTTGAATGTACCATTAGAAGACGTGGAATAAATGTAGATCTATGGCTGCACTGTTTGATAAGCTGGGGGCACGTCTCACCTTCTCCCTGGGTAACCCTCAGAATATTTGTTGTTCAGACAGGAGCCCTGAGCCTCCAGAGCGGCGCGACTGCAGAAGTTCTGTGTGAAGAAAAAAACACACAGGTTTAGATCAATGCAGCCAGTGGACAGAGGGGACAAAAGAGGCAAATTAAAGTCTGTTAAGTGATAAGTGAGAAATCTGCCTAAAGCTAAAGACAATCATTACAGCGGTGAACTCCTGCACTTGCATAGACCTAACATAACACCCCCCAATGTTTTGTATCCGCAGAGGATCTCAAATAACACAATGGACCTTTATGCATTTTCTAGTAGAAAGAACAGGCAACAAAATGACTGAAACATTAAAGGTGCATAGTGTGTTTTTTCTGGTGGAGGGTCCGTCAGATGCTTTTCTCCATGGAGATGTTCTTGCTTTGTTTGGAATGTTTCACAGTATGGTATTAAACCTCTCTATTTTCCAAGTTACAGGTCAGATCAGATCTGTGTAGAGACAATTTTTTTTAAAAATAAAACCACTTGGAATTTGGTAAATGCAATGTAGAGCTGTTTAATGTCATACTGCAGAACATTCTATCCATAGAAACAAACAATTGAAGGACCCCCAACCAAAAAGTTACATAGTGCACCTTTAAATAGCACAATTTTAAAGGTGGATTTAGCGAGGAATGCCAATCCAAATGGACTTGTCACAAATCATTACTGCGTTGTCATAAGCTGGGACCAAAACTGTATAAATTCCTCTGATTCCTTGATGTTTGTTGTTGACTGAGGTTATGCAAATTTTACACCCTTGAGGTCGACAGGAGCAGTGGCAGCAACAGCTTTCTGCTCAGTACATCTGCCAGGCCCTGTCCATCATAAAGCTCATAGTGACAATACATCTGCATCCAGTGATGTGAATTAAATAGCTTTAATCATAATTGAAATTACAATGATTAAACAATTATTTACACAGTTGTTTAAAAATCTATAAAACTAATAAATCAGTGTACAACAAAAGCTTTTCGAAGTTACAATCCAAATAAATAATAAATCATATTTTTCTGTTAGGCAAATGTTTATAGTTGAAAAAAAGTGTTACAATTCAATGTATTAAATGTTATGATTATGTTATGAAATTGTTATTTTTGTAAATTAACTTCATGACTCTATGTTCATATTGGCTTTTGATATTAAATAGACATATTCACAATTGTAAAACATTCTTCATTGCTTTAAGTTAGTTTAGACAATATATTTTGTTTCTCCGGGTGATTAAATAAAATGTAGAATGAGTTCTTCAGTTTGAGTTGCCAGTCCCTACAAATAAAAACATTTTGCAACCTAAAAGAGCTCTTTATGATATAATGTGTCCTGAGTATATGACAAAAACTAACATCCCATGTTCAGTTGACTCTGCATAAACTGTAAAGGCACATGTTCCATCTTGCATTTCAATTCAATTCTTTATTCTACTACATTTCCATTGTTTTCTGTTTACTCTGAACTCAAATCTTGTTCTAGTTGAAAACTCTGAATGCTCTGAGGATGTGTGTCTTACATTATGTGAACACTCTGGCGGCACACACATAAACAGGGGAAGTAAAGAGTGTAGAAAATGTACTGTGTGAGCCGGTGGAGTGGGGTGAACGAGAGACCAACAGGTGAAATAAAGATCTCAGCTCTATCTCCCAGTCCAGTGGTCAGGCTTTGTGCAGCTGATATACTCCACTACACTGCGAGATAAGATGCACTGGTCTTGAGTAGTGGCATGTCTTTTCTCTCAGCCAACGTTAAATAAAATCAATCTGAATTTTTGTTTTACTTTCTGCATCCTGAACCCACACAGTCAACGGCTGAATAATGAATGAAGGAAGGTCAATAATGATTTGTTATTTAAAACACAAAGTTCATGGGGCCAATGTTACGGTTATGTAATGGCTGTTTATTTGAGAAAGAAAGTCCACTTTAGTTGCAGACAATTTTTGTGTTTATGAGAGAAAGGTTTTGAGGATATAAATTTTTAATGCAAGTTTATTATGTCATTTTAATTTTTTAACCAAAAAAGCTGTGTAACAAAGGAAACATTTAGAAATATTATTCTATCTAAAGATAGCAATTTGGGAAATAAAATGCTTGTGATACAATAGGGTTGGGAAATATTAACATTAATATCTGAATGTTTTATTGATTCACTCAATAGTATTTCAGACGATATGATGAGAATCCATCAGAAATACACAAAAACAAGACTGTAAATGTTTCAGTTGAGGTTCAAGGCTGAAATATAAACTTTATTTATTTATTTTATTTCTGTTTATTTTAGTATGCCGTATTAAAGCCTACTCAATGTTCTAGTTTTGACTATTGATACTTTGCATTGACATCACACTGGGAGTGTTCCACATGTATCTCTATTGGTTGGATGTTCAGCAGTTACCATAGTGACACTATACATATTTGCACACACGAACAAAAGGTTTTATGAAAATACAACATTAATTTAAACAACACATTCACGGGAGCTTGTAATGAATACAAGCGTTCTGTTTAGATGTTTGTTTTTCGACATAAAAGTGAGGAACTGAAAAACTGTTAACTAATGCTTATGTGACTATAATTTTATGTGTGAGAGATTTGTTTATGTGCACAAATCATCTCACCTGTTGTAGTTCCAACCAAGTCACCTATTTCTGGGAAGATTGTTAAAATAAAGCTCAGGTTAAAGTCTAACTTGAGTAACAGAGCTTATAACAGAGCAGTGCATCAGTTAGCTTCACACCCCCCGGGAATGTTGATCGCAAAATATTAGTGTCTAAAAGAATTTAAAGATAAACATTTTTCAGTATATGAGCCAACTCTAGCTGTTCAGTAATTATGTAATATATGTCATCATAAGTGTCTTGGTGGTGCTTGTAGTTATGACGGCTCATGTTCACCTCTGAGGCGATGAGCTCCAGGCCGCGGCACTGTCTGTCCTTCTCCTTCAGCAGCAGGTCCCACATCTCAGGGTCATCCTCTGCCAGGCTCTCCTGCCCGGTCCAGGGCCGCTCATCATCCACAGAGCGGGTGGCTGCATGCTGTGCCCGCGCACACACACGCACAGAGGACCGCTGGCACAGGGGCTAGGGGAGAGCAACAGTTAGAGATGGAATCTAGGCAATACCATTTGATTTATAACAGCTTATTGTGAATTTGTGTGGTAGCAAATAAATTAGGTTGAGAAAGGAGCCACAATGTGTGAAATGTAAACGAAAATTCATATAACAAGATACTAGAAATCGCAAAAGGCCTCGAGTCAATTTAATGTCCCTGAAATTAATCAACCAAAATGTAATGGAAAATTCTGCTCAGCAACATTTTCTGTCCCAAATAAAGTATTTAAACCCTGTCCGCTCATCAACTTTTCATGCCTCCTAATACGAAACCCGCTCTAATTAGAAACTGGCATGTTTGCATGATATCAATAATCAGCAGTTGTTCAATTTTGCTTCTATCAGCACTAGTGCAAAGGGAAGGAGCGCCTTTACAGCCCCAGTGTACAGACACAGGCACAAAGAGAACACATTCAGCACTTCCTGCTTATCTAATCTGGACTCAGGCTGCCAACTTCTGCTGCACCGCCTCATCATGAAGTGAGCAGAGTCCACAATCATCTCCACTTCTGTGGCTTCTACAAGTATTTAAGCGTGGTCTTTATCATTTTACAGTGGCTCAAGATTACTGAGCACAATAAATAGAAAACTACAGAGACCCTCGTACAGAACCTGTAATTATCATTTGTGAGCGCTATGGGAGAGGTGACCTCTTGATGGAGATAATAGCAAAACATAATTAGCACAAGGCTTATTGCATGGGGGAAGAAAAAAATAAACCAAAAACACAAAAAATACACACAAACATAAATGTATATTAGAAATGAATTGCTCCAACTACTGTATCTACGACCCAAAGTTAAGAATAATTTCAATTATTGTCATAATTTCAGAATTATTATTTTTTGTGTTCTATTTTTATCACATTCTTAATGTACTCACTGGAAGCTGAAGCAATTTTTTACCTCTACATGGTTTTATGTGTCATTTAAAATTTAAATGTGACACATTGTTTTATTCTAAAATCTCTGAAACAAACAATTTGATAAAAGGATTCCAAATTTCTATTCTAGATCACGCCATTTAGGGCTGTAATACCGAGCAGTGCAACAATATTCGATATAATACAAGTGTCATGATTCTATACACACCTGTATGTGCCTACCCAGAATGTCCTAAGATGTCAGGACTATAAAACTATTAACTATTATGTTGTTTCTGAGTAAACAGCTCCAAAGATGTGAAATATTCTAACAGATGTGGGTTTTATCTAGTCAGGAGGAAAATAAAAATAAAATATATAAATAAATAAATCAAAAATAAATCATCAAATCATCATCCAAAAATAAAAATTCTGACAGTGTATTTCCCATAGCAGTCTATATTAACAATACATTCTTAAAAAATTTTCTCCTAAGAAAACTTTTCACTGACTAAAAATGCCAAGTTGCAAATCACTAATCTAAATGAATTTAAACACTTCACATGTACAACATGTTACAGTGGTTGTGCTGTAATTTATTAAAAAGTGATGTTTCATGTTAATATCAAAATGTTAATAATGTCATAATGTTAATATCATTAATTTAGCTCATTAGCAGAAAAAAATAACATAATAATTGCTTTTTTCTTGGACTTACAACACATCAAAATCTAACTGATATTGTGACTCATGTATCAAGATACGTATTGTATCGAATCGTGAGAAAACTGTATGGTTGCATCCTTAGAGAGCTGTATATTCAATATTGTGTAAACTCCACCAAACTTTGCCCCACAGCTGTCTCCACAGTTGATCAGCTCCATCTCTGCAGCCCAGGGGCACATAGGGAGAGGAGGGAGAGGGGTGACACGGCCGCACCTGAGTGGCACATTAACAGCCTGATTGTAACAGTGTCTCTGGCCTTCACTCACTGCAGGAGAGGCTGCACAGGCTGGGGCCCTCTGGGGGACTGCAGAGGAGACGAGGGCCCAGGGAGACAGCCTGCGCTGCCTCTGAGGACACACTTCTCACTGTGAAATCACACGGGTCATTAAGTCTTGACAGGAACTGTCCTTGGCTGTCTGCGTTTCAGCTGGGACACACTGGGGAGGAACAACAGCGCCTGCTCTGCCACCTTCACTAAAACAGACAGCGAATCTCCTCCTCGCCCTGCACTGCTACACCTTTATCAGCACTTTCTGTTCCCTGTAACAACAACAGTTCACAGGGCTTTTTATTTTCGCCTTGACATCAATATCACCCCTGTGTGCCAAGCGCCCGGCTCTGTGCTTAAATAAAGACCACACATGGGTCTCAGCGGCGCTCCCCTCTGCTCACCTGCCTCCATCATTACCAAAGATTAATTAACAATCACAAGGAACTGATCTAAAGAAAGCAGAGCCAAGACAAAAGCATCAGATCTGTCTCGATGGGACTATTTTTAGGCGGTAGATTACGCTGTCATTTGAAGGTGAGTCGTGATGAAAAGGTAGCGATGAGAAAAGAGGCGGGTAGAGTCACATCCACCTGGGCCCTTGCTCCCGGTAATGGCAGCTTCACAGATGTACTGCGTCTGTGACAATGAGAAGGTAATTGTTGGCGGTTTCCTCTCCTGTCAAACTGCATGACTCAAAAGAACAATAGCAGAAGACGGCAAGGGGAGAACAAAGAAAAATCTGTTCATTAATCCACCTAGTGCCCATTTCCTGCACAGCTCCCGAGGTGAGTCAATTTTCCAGATGACTGCTGTCCATCAAAAGGCCTTAACAAACAATCAGAAAAAAGAGACAGACTTAAATCAAGCAGAGGCGAGATAGTACAGGTGTCAACAGGGCAGTGGCATTCACCAGTCGGACATGTAGTATCTCCACTCTCTGTCACAGGCTAATGGTGGCGTGATCCGTTACAAATTGGCCTGTGATTTGGTCTGGGTGACACTAGGCGGAGGGACGTGGCCGAGGTTAAGAGGCGCGAAAAGTCAGAGGGTGTCAGCGCAGTCCAGTGAAAAGCGCTATACCTGATTTGTACTGTCTGAGCTAACAATGACTAGCATGCTAACATGCGCTTTCTGATTATCAGATTAAAAAAAAAAAAAAGATGCAGACCGCCTGCAGCAAACTTATTCTGACCTCAAGAGCTGCTTATATGGGGCAAGACAAAGTTTTCTCAAATGCACAGGGAAAAAAATCAGGTACATGCCCTTTACAGACTGTGGAAGGAAATTTATGCTATGGGAAGAAACACAAACAGGAAAGCTGAAAAATTTGTCAAGATGTGATCCAACATTGAAAAATCGAATAAGAAAATGTTGATTCTGGGAGTAATTTACAACAGTAAACAAACAAAAAAAATGTTTTAGTTTCATACACATCACTTGGCAGTGTTAACATAAATGACTGTGTATGTTAATGTGTCAAGTGTCCTTTTCGATGTGCATTATGTAACCTGCTACCTGCAACGACCACAACCTGGCCTGTAGGAAGAGATCCTAAATCTCATAAAAAATTAAATGTGGGGGAGAAAGAAAAACTGAATTCAAATGTTTCGTCACATAGAAATTAAAAGTGTAGGCAGACAAAAACATTTTCAAGTTAAAAATGTTAAGGATGCCCTCCAGACACAGATGCTAGAAGCTATTTAGAGGTAGGTTTCTTTACGTTTTAAAAGTTGAATGTAGAATTGTATAGTACAGTAAAAGCAACCAAGAATTTAATAGAAAATGTTACGGAATTATCTGCAATTAAACTTACAGAATTACATAAATTGATGGACCAGTCAAAATACAAATTCTTAAACTGTGGAAAAAGTGAAAAAACAAATGCAGGTCAGGTTCTCTCTGACACAGAGTGAGAACACCACGTCTTCACTAAAAAAACTAAGGTCTTGTGAGCCTGTTTGAAGTAAATTAAAATGCACTGAAAACTAATCAGCACCAATAAGAAGAGCATGCAGACATGAGACCAGTGTCACACACACATCTGTGCCACTTGCCGAGTCCAGGCTTGACTTGCAAAACTAGGACTGACTACACGCCACTGGGGCTTCGTAAAATGGGTCACATCATAAAGTTTCAGAAAATGAGGCTATAAATAAAAGTTACAAACATGGCCTGATAACTCAAAATGATCAAGTTATATATGAAAATCAGACATTTAAGATTATAATATCACACTGAACCATTTCTAGAATAAAAAAAAAAATTAATAAATTCAGCATGAAGTTCATGAACTGAAGTTCTGTGAAAAGTGACACCCATCGGAAGTGTCACAGACACTGTATGAGGTGTTAATTAAGTTGGGATAAAATATCAATATTCTATCATTACATTACTATTCTTCATTTTTCTAGTTGCAGCCGCTGTGATTACAAAACTTTTTACGTTTTACAGCTTAACAATACTTTTTCTATGCCCTGTGACAAGTGCTGCAAGCAGGTGTTGATTTTCTCTTTTACTCTGTCTACTTATTAGCTAATTGACTTAAATATGAGCTACAAAATACTATCCAGTCCACAAAGCTTTATTTTATTTTATATAACAAATTAATATTGTGTTAATCCCGAGTATTATATTAAAATGCATCTCAAACATGAGTTGTCATTGGATCTTATGAAACTGTATTTGAAGAGTATGCAATTCATCATTTCAAAACTTGCAATAATAATCTAACGATAACAATCTGATTTCTTAAAATAAATTCTTATCCAAATCTTATGCATACAAGAAGTTAATAATTGTTGGGTACAGGGAAAAAGCGAGAGTCAGAAATACTTTGCACTTTGATCGTGACAGAGGGCGGACCCCATAACGAGCTCTATCATGTTATTCATGAAACGCCTGAAGTGAACTTTATCTGTAACCTACTGCGGCGCTGATATCAACTGGAATATTTGGTTATTTACAGACTGTCAACACTGGCAAATCATTACAGCTAGAAACGCCTTGACTTTGATAACAAATCATAAATGTCATTCCAGTGCAAGTGTAGAAGCGAGGTCAGACCTGTTTATGATCTCTTTTTCCCCCTCATGATGAAATTGAGCTGTGGCTGTTGCATCATTGCGTGGACACACAGCGTGCAGCTGTGGCATGCTCCACAAGCTATCACTATAACTATGCTAGCACACAAGCTAACCATAGGCGATTTAGTACCAAAACACGCCAAGAAAGACTGCAGATAGTTACTAACATATACACTTAGCATTTGTTTCAGTTGTCAGACACAACCTTTCACTAATGCCTAAATGCTATGTTATGAGGTTAATTGACTAAGGCATGAGCTAGCTATCCACCATCACGAAACCTGTCTCTCTGTTACGCAACGCGAATAAACATTTAAAATAAAGTGATATGCACTTCTGCTGCACGGTACTTACCCGTGCAATGTGTCTGAGCGTGAGGGTCAACATGTTTTCAGATGTCAGGCCAGAAAAGATGCAGCACAGCCACGACAGCAGCACTGACACTCTGCGTAAGCCTGTTTGAAGTTGTAAGCAACGTCAAGCAACGTCTAGCAACGCCCCCGGTGCAAGGGATCATGGGATTGGTAGTTTTTTTTTTCCTCTTACGACCTTTACTGTTTATTTCATCTGTTTTGGCTTTACACCACTGACTCGAAATAATTTCTAGATGTCCTGTAAATATATTATTTTATGTACAAATGTATCTGGTAATCTATTTTTTTTTGACTACTTATGAGTATAAAAAGACAAAGCCAACACGCTATGGTTCTCAAAAACATTAGGCCCACCCAGGTATGAAGTAGCCTATTGAATGTAGGCTACTCATTTGAAGTGTTGATAGCAGAATAATATAATGTCAATGTCAGCCTCATTCAAAATGATTTGAATCTATATCAGAACCCGTGTGCCTTATACTGGTGCGTCTACTACAAATGTGTGTTAAAAATAACATTCAAAATGTAATTCCCTAAAAGTGCATGTGTTTAATATGACTCTAGTATCAAAATCAGAATCTTGTGTTTATCTAGTATAAAATTGAATTTGAGTAGCCTTTTGTAAGATACTGGACTTCACTTCTATGACATGGTGCCTTTTAGAAATTATTGAATTCTAATCTAAATACATGTTGTTGTTTTTTTTTTGTTTTTGTTTGTTTGTTTGTTTTTTCTGGTGCTTGTTGTCTTAAAGCTTAATTTGTATGATTGTTTAAGAACTCTATAACACAATTAATCATATTTATACAAAACATGCAAATATGTGGGTTGTAAAAAAGTGTTCTCCAAACTTAATAAATCCTGCTTTTACAGTTTAACAACTTTTTTATTCATCACTTTAACGCGTGGGTCAGTGACACCTACGTGTGTATCCTTTTTCATTCAGAGATTATGTTTGCTGCTGTACAAACATGAGGCTGTAAACTTGTACCTATTCACAAGACTCAGTGTTGAAATAACTCATGAATCCAGGGCAGAAGATCGGTGAAAGACTAGACAGGACAATGCATGGCCAGCCCATTCTTCTGTGCTCTGCTGGAAGATACATGGACCCTCCTGGACTCCAGTCTGAATGTCATTGATCAACAGCATAATAGGCTATTGAGCCAGAGGAAGATGAAGATTCAATTAGCATTGACTCTGTGTTTTCTAATGTAATTCTGAGCACCATTAGAGTCAGGTTGGGAGTATGGAGAGAAAAGGGATGCACTTACACCACCTGGACATGCATGGCTCTGAAGGTGTTGGAATGTGCTCTACTGTATAGCCTAATATTTAAAATTCTGTCTTATGCAGAGATTTGGACACTTAATTTTGTTAGTATCATCTCTAACTTCCACCTTAACTTGAAAATTATCTAGATTTCACATATTATATCTGATGGCATGCACACTTACTGATTTCTATTCTTTGTGTGTTTTTTTTTTTTTTTGTTCCGTTTGAATAAAAACCTTGAGATTTACAATGTTAAAGAAGCTATATCTGATTTGTACTGTCTAGCACTAGGATTTGGAACCCAATAGCTTCTTAAGTAATAGAGCTGCACTGGGGAAAGACCAATTTTGCATGGTACAGGCCCTTTACATCAATCTCATCATATATTTGAACAAAATTTTGTACAAACATGAATGCCCATTTATGTTTCCAGACCCACAGTGTAGCTATAAGGAGTCAACCCCATAGCAAAGATATTTGTGTTGTAATTAAAATACCTTTTGTCCCATATATCAGTCTCAACATAGGACTAACCCATGTTTACCCAAGTCTAGACCTAAACCTCTAAACTAGAACTATTTCTAAACAAGCCTAACTATAGCAATTCAAAATGATTAGGTTCTCACTCATACAGATGTCACTAAATGAACATATGCTCTCTTGTTTACCAATTAAATCTACTTTGAATATTTATCTCTCCTATTCCTTGCCTTACCTAACAAATGTCAAACATTTCTTATTGGCTCCTGTTAGGAAATAATTAAAACAGATAGCTCTTCGGTTTAACAAATTGAAAACATTGTCTGTTTTGTGTCTTTTAAAGTAAGCACACCCCCTCGGTATATTTAAGAAATGAAACTGGCATATCTTCATAGAAAGTGTGGGTATGAATTTCTAATCATTCTGCAATGGAGCTTCGTTTATAGTGGTCTGATAACACATGAATGTGGCACAAACTCTGGCCACTAAAGAGGAGCCCCCAACACAGAAAAGAAACAGGCGGTTTAGAGGATTTTAATGTGCTTTTTCATACAGTATATTGTATGCATATCCAGCATAGCATTTCTCATACATATATCTCTCTTATGTCCAGGGTCTTGATAATGTATAGTAGGGAGGATGGTTAACAGTCAGTCTACCAAAGAGTTTGCCATTGGCCACCATACATGATTTGGCCAGAAGTCTCCAACTGCAAAAGGGAAAAAGACAAAGAAAGCCTAAAATAATAACACGAGGGTTGAGAATTTAAAAGGCACAAGTGACAGTTTGAAATACATTTGTTTATGGAATTTACTATAGTGTATAAAACATGATATATATATTTTCCCTTAAAGATCCCGTGCCTGACTTTTTTCTATATATTGGATCTAAATTTGTCTTCCCCAATACAGATATGTTGTATAAGCAGCTCTTGTCAAAATATATCAGCTGCATGCTGTCTACATTTAATTATAAAAGGTTTTATTGTTTGATAATCAGGAAGTACACATTAACATGCTAGTTGTTGTTAGCCTTACAGTCACATCAAAACTCTGCTCTAATCTCTTGTGAAAAGTGCTAATAAGCTAATAGAATAGATTCAGGATTCTTGGAATTCATAAGGTAAGTGAAGAGTAACTTGGACCATTGCAAAACATTTACATTTAATTTGTTGTTTTTCATATTTTTAAGACAATCAGGTATTGCTCCTTTAAACATTCTTCTTGTTGGATTCTGTTTCATTTGCACATGTTTGAGCAAGTTGTAATGTTTAATTTTTCTCCCTCTTGATAGCTAAAAATGTGTGCTTCTACTCACTGACATTATCTGGTGAAAATTTGCCAATGTGTACACAAAAATATTTGATAAATTCTCTTTCATATGATTACATTAGCTTAAGTTTTATAGTTGGAAAGCCTAAGGGTACAGTTTTCTAAAAATCTGGAGTATGCATATTATTTGAGAGCTTCAGTTCACACATACAACTCTATTATAATTTCTTTATAATGCATTATAAACAGCTGTTCCTTTTGTCACTTGTGCCCTTTACATTCTTTCCTCTTAAACTGTGAGGGTGAGTACAATATTTACAGAAAGAAATGGAATCAAAACAAATACAAAGTTGGAAATTATATTGGAGTCATCCAAACAGCATCTCAACCATAACTGTGAGTATATTTTTAAATTTAAATCCACAATTCACAGCAGTTTTGGAGAAGCAGAAATAACCGTCCACTGCCTCTTCAATATAGTCCATTGTCTATACGTTTGATATTTCTGTCCAGTCCAGTCTTGCCATTACTATCCAAAGTAAGGGTGTTCGCTTTGAAAGTTGTAGTCCGGACACACTTTTTGCACCAGCTTGTAGTCGATGCTGAAGAAGGAGATGAAGATGCAGATGACTTTGAAGGGTTTTGCACATAGCCAGGCAGCGTGGGACTGGGTATGCTCCGTGAAGCAGGTCTGGGAGGGGTCGTACAGGCAGGGTTTGGGCTTCTTGGATCTGTTGGTCTTTTCGTACTCCACTCGGCAGTTGAAAGTTTTCACCTCTTTGGGATCGACGGTGGATTGCTGCGTCTCTTGAATCTGCACCTCTTGTTGGGTGTGTGGGTGCACGGGTGGCTGTGACAAAACCTCAAACTCCACCACTTTGGTTGGGGGCACGATGCTGACGGAGACGTTGCCGAGACTGGACGAATTGTGCCGGAAGTAGACTGTGAAGGTGCCGTTGATGTGGTCTACGATTTTGCCCGTAACCAAGAGACTGAACTTCACCGTCTTGACGTTGAAGTAGAAATCACCCCACCCAAAGATTTTTTTGGTCTTCATGGCCGTCTTTAGCAAGGGTTTGCGTTTGGAGCGGTAGCCTGTCTGGTCGAGGAGGAGAGACTGGTTCCTTCCATCGTATGGGTTGTAGAAGTTGTAAGTGGGGGGCTTGGTCTTCATGGGGGTCTGGTCTATGGAGGTAGAGAAGACCCTTGTTTGGTAGGGGGGCTTGACCACGCCCCCTGCTGCCCCGCCCACTGCGCTGTACGGAAATGTCTTCATCACCGAACCCACCGGACCCAGGTCTGAGAAATCCACTTGCTTCTCCAGCCCTTGGACCTACAATGAAAAGAGTTGAAAAAAAAAGAAAATAATGTTATCAATGAACCAATGACTGGGTAATTCCAAAAAGTACAACATGAAGTACCATACATGAAAGATAATTATAGTCAATATTCAGTTCTTATTTGATTCAACTTTGACACTGGAACAGATAACTTCCTGCATGTTGAATGAACAGTAGTTGGATATTTTTTTTTTAGCACACTTGACATGTAAAGCACTTATGTTCAAGTTATGATCAAGATTTTAATGAAACAATCTCATAAAATAGCAATCTGCATATCATCATAGAAGTATTATTATTATACAAGTATTTCTTGGTTCTTGGCTCCTAAAATATGAATGTATGATGTAGAACACTTTTTCCCCTCTTCTGATTTATTGTAAAGTGTGAATTTGCGATATGTTCAGTCTTTTCTTTTTGTAATTTATTTTTGTGCTTTTCTGTTTACTTTTGGCACCATCTCCTCTATTTATGTATTAAAGTTTCATTTCAATATATTTTAACAGTTTTTGTATACTTTATTCATGTTAGAGTAGTTAACCCTTATGAGATCTCATTTGTATACACATTTGTAGTAATTCTGTAAACTAACTCAGTTACAGTTAAACTTTGGACAGACTAAGTGAGTTATTTTGTAGTACTTTGAAATAATAATAACAATAATAATTATTATTATTATTATATATATATATATATATATATATATATATATATATATATATATATATAT